TGACCATCAAGCAAGATGGAAAAATAATAATATTACTATAACATCTAATAATATGAATATATCTATATGATTTATCCTTAATAATATCTAATTACGCTCCATACGAGTAAGTACACAAATATGTAGCTAAAACTATATCAGTAAGGAAAGGATAAAAGAAAAAAGAACTATTATAAAAGTACCTTTAAAAACGATTATAAAAGTCATAAATTAGTAATTTCAGCACTAATAAAAATAGATCTTATAAAATTCATAATTTCATAGGAGATTAAATTAAAGAAGTATAAATCGGTAAAGAATACAAAAAAAAAAAATTAAACAGCTAAGAACAAATACAACATTCATATCCTTCTTAAGACTTTAATTATAACAATATATATTGTAAAAAGAAATACATAAGAAATAGAATTCTTGATGATACCTTCTCCCGTAAAAAAATCATCTAAAACTGTGATACATCATATCATTCTAATTAGGATCAAAGAAATATTAATATTTAAAACAAAAAAAAGTACATGAAATTGTCTAATGATTGACATCAATGAGAGGCAAGTGGTAAAGAAAAATTACTTTTGCTTGATACATATATATAACTAAAGATTAGTAGGATAAGATGAAAAGGTGAAGAGTTGTTTAAGTTAATTTTCTATGAAATATTTGTCTTTCAAATTTTGACTTTACACCTACTTATTTTTAGTATTTAACTATTTAGTATAATATAATATAATGGGATAATGCCCAAGTACCCCCTCAACCTATGCCTGAAATCTCAGAGACACACTTATACTATACTAAGGTCCTATTACCCCCCTGAACTTATTTTATTAATAATTTTTTATCTCTTTTCGACCTACGTGGCACTATCTTGTGGGTCCAATGATGGTTGACTTTTTTTAAAAAACTAGTGCCACATAGGCTAAAAAGGGATAGGAAATTACTTATAAAATAAGTTCAGGGGGGTAATAGAACCTTAGTATAGTATAAGTGTGTCTCTGGGATTTCAGACATAGGTTGAGGGGGTACTTGTGCATTTTCCCTAATATAATTATTATTTAGTATTTAGATAATTAAAATTTAAACCATTGTGTTTAGATGTATGTATTTAAATATGATATTTAATATTAAATTAATTTTATATTAATATTTAACTTAGTTTAGGGATAAAATAAGGGCACAATGGTAATTCAAATTTTAAGTTAGGAGCTTCCAGTTGTAATAATACTAGTCATTAGCAACATGTATTGCATGTATATCCTATATTATTGGATTATTATGTAGAAAATGTTAAAACTAACAATATTAACTTTATCATTTACATCATACTCATTAAATAAAATCCATAACAATTGAATGTTAAATTTGTAAAGCTAATAAGATAATGTAACATGTAATGATATGAATATGTCGATATAACATATCCTCAATAATCTCTCATTACGCACTTTACACGTAGTTCTCATATCCAATTTGAAAACATTAAAAAGATAATTTAAGAATAAACATAAAAATCACTTACAATGAAACCAATTTACATGAAATAATACCAAAGTTTAAATTCTTGGAACATTTTCAAACATCTTCGGGAAGATATTATCCTTCATCTACATCAATTAAAATAAAAACTATCAGTGTATAAAAAAATATATCTTTATTTTATTCTAATCCATACATAATGATAAAAATTTATTGAAATCTTCAAACATTCATTCTCTATCTATCAATATTATCACATGCGATGACGTCTTTGATCCCAATGCAACATTAATGGTACTAGCCCTAACAGTTCTTCATAGACAATGGTATTTTTTTCTTCTGTACCTAGAAGATCGGTAAAGTAATCAAAAAAGTAAAAAATATAGAAAGAGAAATAATAAAAGAAAATTGAGAAAATGCTCAAATGAGATTTGCAAATTTAGTGCTCTTCTGTGTGACTTTAAATAAGGGCTTATAAAAGGGAAGTTGAAGAGAATCAAACTATTAAAGCTAAGAAGTTGAAGAGAATGAAATTATTAAAGCTATGAAGCTGAAGAAAATCAAAATTTAAAGATATTTTAACCAAAAAAAAAACAACTCATGAAATTCATACTTAATTGTTGGGTGCGCACAGGGTAAAAATCTTACTCCTATGCAATAGCTTGCAAATCACATAAAAGAGGTAAACCGCACTAGGCAAGCCCGATGCGATGAACTCGACTCAGAAGTCAAATCTCTTGCTTTCGCTGATAATTTGGATTCATGTATTTCTATCTCATATTGAAATAAACTGTTATAACAAATATTTGAAAGTATAATTTAAGATGGTATAAAAACTTCACATAAATGCCATATAAAGTAAACTCCTAGAAATATAGTTATAAATTAATGTTAAATGATGCATTTTTTTCTTAAAGGATATGAACCATAATTTATTAGATAATTCATAATATTTTAATTTAGTTTAAGAGTAAAATGGTAATCTAACTTTGCACTTTAGAAATTCTCACTTTTAATAATATATGATATGATGATGATTTGATACATTGTTTTGTCAATCATAATTTTTCAAATTCTTCCATTATGAGAAACATGATTATGATCAAGAAAATAATAATTTACATTATTAATGTGCTTAAGGACTTAAATTATACCAAAATGTAATTGAAATATATTTGTATTTAATTAGAACTATCAAATTTTTAATTTAGAAAAAGTGCAAAATGATAATTTAACTTTTCACTTTGAAGCTTTCCACTTATAATAATAATATATGATTCATGTTAATGCTCTGATTCATACAATATTTAGGAATCCGCAGCCAAAAGGACAACTTTTTTTCTTATAGAAACCCTATAAAAGGGAGCTAGTTTATATAGGATTTATGTCTTATGATTGACTGGAATTTTATATATAGACTCTAAATTGACTATAGAGGCTACTTGAGTTTCACAAGTAAATTGAAATAACTAGCCGTTAGCTAATATCAAAAGTTTTTTCTTAATATTATTTCTTACACCGACTTAATATTTAGTAATTAATGAAAGTCTAACTATCCGTTAGCTAATATTAATTTTTTTTCCTAATATTATTTTTTACACCAACTTAATATTTAGTAATTAATGAAAGTCTAACTAGCCGTTAGCTAGCCGTTGGAGGGAACCTATATATATAAGTACATATATTGTTGTTGGAGACTCAAACCTATATATATAAGGTATTATTTTGGAGACTCAAACAATATATAATTCTTTTGTCTTTCTTGAGATTCTATTGAATCTATTACCAATTTATAGCTAGCAGTTTTTGTTCCTACACCAAAGAAAGTACATATATTGTCGTTGGATGAAAGAGTATGGGGTTTCTGAATCTTGCACTAAAGATATAATTTTTTGGATTCTGTTTCGCGGGGTATTGTTGACTTTGATTTTGAATCGATACTTATGTGGAAAGATGGATAAATCTTTATTCAAAGTCGCACAAAACTAGCTTTGTACTACCCAAAAATGAAGAGTTTCAGGGTGGTTAACGTTTACGGTGAGGTCACTACAACGATTATATACATTCGAAGCTTTTACTCTCTCATGACTATCACAGGGGCGACTTTCAACTCAGAAATGTTTATCTCACTATTTGGATAAACATTTGTGAGTTCAAGGTTGTCCCTCATGATACTCTTGAGCGAGTAAAAGCTTGAAGTGTATGTGATCGCTGTAATGACCTTACCGTAAATATAAACCACCTTAAAACTCTTCATTTTTGGGTTGTACGAAGCTAGTTTTCTGCCCGCATTGAATTAAGATTTCTCCATCTTTCCACATAAGAATCGGTTCAAAATTAATGTGAACCATACCACGCATAACAGAATCCACCAAAATGATATCTTTAGTTCAAGATTCAGAAAATCCATACTCTTTCATCCACCAAATATCAATATTAGTGGATGATGTGTTGTAATAATTAGTCAGACATAAATAATTCCCCAACTTTACTAGCTTCAAGTTCCAGGGTGGATTTACCAATCCCGATGGAGCTGACTTTTATCCACCATATATCAATATACTCTGTATTGTTACTATCACACAAACATAGATAATTCCCCAACTCTACTACTGCCAAGTTGTAGGATGAAGTTTCTAGATCACGTGGAGCTAACAGGGACTTCACCTCTTTTGCTAAGCCTAATCCTCCAAGCAAAAGCACATAATGTTTTCTACTAGAAAATGAAAAGCATACAATGATTTAGAATCCCAACTACATCTAGATCCCGAGTAATCTCAAACCTATAAGAAAAAGGTTCTACCAATACTAAAAGAACAAAATATTCCTATCCCAAATCTATTAGAACAAAGAGTTAGGGATTATGAGTTTCCTAACATATACTAGGGGAAAACATTAAAAAATGACCAACACCTATTTAATTTAGTGTACCTTATTTATCGTAATAATCATATTTTATTTTTGAGTTGGTTTATCATTCAAATTCTTGATGTGTGTTTGTCATGGAAAACGATAAATCTATTAAATGAATATAATAATCTGGAGAGACAACCATGTGTTTGAGGAATTATATTTTGATTAGGAGACTAATGAATCAGAATAGGCTAATTACAAGGGTTTGTTACTTATCATTCCTGAGCTAATAGGAGTACTAATTACGTTTTATTTGTTTTCAAAATTGATAAGTAATTAGAATGAAATAAATTTATTGAAGTATTTTTTTTTCACAACAATTAAGATTGTACATATAAGCTTTAGTTTTTGTTATTTAATTTGAATAAAGCATTTGTACTAGCAAGTGTTACAACATGTGCAATATATATGTAACACAAAACGAAAAACGATCACACAATTTAACATTATACTAAAAATAGAAAAACTTCTAGGTGCAAATTTAATCGCCACTTATTTAATGGATCGAAAGAATTCCAAAAACGATAATTGAACAAACCTAGTTCTTCATTTCACATACAATTTTTACGCGTTATTTTGAACTAGAGGTTGAGGGGATGTTGGTGGTAATGAACCTTGAATAGGGCAAAAACTTCTAAATGCTAAAGGAAAAAGTGAACCAAAAGGGAAAATCTTAGGCCAACAGCTATCATGAATATCTAATACAGCTATGCCACATTGAGGATCAATTAATCGAAGTCGAATAGTTAGGAAAGATGTTATAATCTCTTCAACACATCCAGGAACGTTGAGCACTGATGCTAAGCATGTGGAGATATCCGGAAAAAGACCATTATCGACCTGACCACCTAAACTTGGCAAAAGACCTCCTCCTTCTCCGAGTAATTGTGAGACGCTCGGAGAAACCTGAATTGATATACATAAAAAAAAACGTATAAGCATAGATATGAGTCATTTTTAGAGGATTTGGAATTTGATAGAAAAATTGGAAGGATGATTTCATATTTATATAGTGTAGGATGTAACTCGAATGTATGGTGACCTTTTAATTTCTTAAAATGGGTTGAACACATAAGCGGTCCCTGAACTTGCACGCTTTTTCTGTTTAGACATCTTAATGAGGTCATATTCCTATTGAACACCTTATGTATACACAAAGTTGTGTCTATTAGACACTTCAATGACATTACCCGAAAATATATAGAGTGCGTGACTTTCAAACACTATAATATGAAAAAAGAGTCAATCATACCGTGAGATGTGGCAAATTAAAAAAAAATATCTCCAGCAGCCCCCTCTGCATCTTCTTCTTTGAAACCCCTCCTCATTGCCAACTTAAATCCCACCATTAACAATTTTATGAACTCTCTATTTGTTCCTTTTATTTTTATTATAAAAATAATTCATAATTTATCCTCCCTTTCCTCCCAAACACTAAAATTATTTCATAATTTTTCTTCCCTTTCCTCCCATACAATATTCTCTAACTTGCATAGCTCAATTCTTCTTCTTCCTCTCTTTTTTATCATTAACAAATATGATTAAAATTTGAAATTACCAAGAAATAATAAAGGTACAACTCCGTATTTAGTTATTTTTAGTGACTTTGTTTATGAGTTTTGTTTAATCATAAAGATGAATGAAGAATTTTTTTTTGATTTTCAGCAACAATGTTGAGATGTGGAGAAGAAAGAGATGAGAAATAAAAAAAATAGGAAAAATCTAGGGTTGGATAAATAAAAGGGGAAGATTTGGACCGTTAAGTGTGTCAATCAGACACATCCGCTTTTTTTTTCTTACTTCACGCGCTCAAAGGCGTGCCTCAAACGACAGGTGACAAGTCAGCCAAGTGTGTTTGATAGGTACATATTTTGAATGGTTTAAGTGTTCAATAGGAAGGAGCTCCTGTTAATGTGTCTATACGAAAATTTTTGACAAATTCAAGGGGCCGCTTATGTGTTATGCCCTTTAAATGTCATTTATATGAAGACTTTATTATTTACATTTTAACAGTAGTAAAACTGTAATCGAATATCTTTACAAGTTTTATGTTTTTCAGCATTAATCTCAATGTTTATTATAGTACATAGCACATCCTCTAAATTAAAGAACCCAAAATTTATATATATATATATATATATATATTATATACTTCCTCCGTTTAAAAAATGATGACCTAATTTGACTTAAAACGGAGTTTAAGAAAAGAAAGAATACATTTTAATCTTGTGGTTCTAAATTAAAGTTATGTCAAATGTACAAAAATGTCCTTTAATCTTGTGGTCGTAAACATGTTACGTGGAAAGTTAAAGTTAAAATGGTGCTAAAAAAAAAAGGGGAATCATTTTTTTAAAAAAACAAACTAAAAAGGAAATAAAATCATTCTTTTTGAAATGGAAAGAGTATATATTATTTTAATTTTTATTTTCATTCCGTAAGTTCGCATTGGGTTCAACAAATTCAAATTGGCGTTATATAAAAAATGGTTAAGGAAAAAAGTGCTTCCTAGTTTATCTTTTTTAAAGGGTGTACTAGGGGTGTACAATTCAAATTAAACCAACGAATCAAATTAGATCGAAAAAAAATGATTTGTGATTTGATTTGACGGTTGAAAAAAAAATCGATAACTCTTGATTTGGTTTGGTATTAAAAAAAAAAGCTAAACCAAATCCAAACCTAACCAACATTTATATTATTTATAGATAAAAAATATTATTTATAATCTAGTTTGTTAATATATTCTTAGTTAGTTTATAGTTTTCATTGTTTATATATTTTATTTCAAATTTGGGTTTGTAAAATTTGTAAATATTTTATTTTGTATTAAGATCCGAAGTTATAATTACATTGTCATAGTTTTCAAATTCGAAGTTAACAATTTACTTTGTAAATATTTTGTTTTGTATTCAGTTTTTTTTTTTTGCCTTTAAGCTTATTAATTAACAGAATAAACATTGATATTTCAAAAATAATATTTTGTACCCATGTGAATTTTATCGTCTTTCAAAAAATTCTGTTCATTTAATATTTTTTAAGTTTAGCTTATCACATAGGTATGTAAAATATATTTGATTTTTTTTTCCAAATACTATATAGTTGTAAGAATTCGAAAAACTGAAAAAAAAAACTTTATGTGATTTAATTTGAATTTTAGATTTAATAAATTAACACGATTGATTTATATTTTTTTCATGAAAAACCAAATCAGAGAAGTCTAAGCCATGGTCAAAGGATTTGAGTTGAAAAAATAATTAAAATATTATTCTTAAAAGAATACGTAAATAATAATTTTAATAATATAAAAATGAAAAATAAAATAAAAACTTATCTTCACCATAAATAATCGAAATGAAAAAATCAAATCTATTAAATTGTCTATGAAATATTTTACACTCAATTAAATGCATCGAATCTTGCAGAACTTACGATGAAGAAAAATATTCAAAGTTTTTTAAAATGAAATTAAACAATAAGCCCAAATTCATAACAAGATTAACATAATTTGGGTTTTAATTAAAAAAAGATTCTACATATATAGAGCATGATACTGCATTTATTAATTAGGAAAAAAATTAAATTAGTACTGCAAAATCTTTACAAATCTCCATGATAAATTTGTAGATAAAATTTATGAATTTATAGTAAGCTAATCTTCAAAGATTTTTTCCATATATACCATTAAGTTCACATTTACAATAATTATTATTTAAGACCCATTCATCCAAAAAAAATAAACAATCAAAAATGAATTTCTTTAACTTAATCTTCTTCATTCTTATTGCTCTCTTTGTTCCTAGTAATAAAAAAATGGTTCAAGCTATTCAACCACATGAGAGTTTATTAGCAAAAAGTGAAAAAATATTTCAACCTTTTTTAGCTGTTCACGAGATATCAAGAAAGTTGAATGATGTTCAACAAGGGTCCGGGTCTTCATACCGTTTGGTTCCTAGTGGCCCTAATAGGGCTGAGAGTCCGTCAGATTACCCAACACCACCAATTAAGCCAGACAAAAGGTTATATAAATTGAATGCATCAAGGAAATTGAATGGGGGTCAACGAGGGCTAGGGTCTTCGTATCGTTTTATTTATTAGTATGTATTTATTTATTCTATAAATCATATTATAACAGAAATTAGAAATTTAGTACAAAAAGTTACTTACCCAGATTGGAAGTCTAATTTTAATTATTATCGAGGATTTTATTTTGTTCAAATTGATTAACGATGTTTGTCTATATAAAAAAATATTTATTTGGTATATGAATAAAACAGAAACATGAGAATATAATATTTAACACATTTAGTTTAATATAATCCTTATGTTTACCGTTTTTAAACGAAAATACTAAACATAACAAATATTCTCACTTAGTAAATATCGTATAGATTAATGGCACTCTTTAAAAGCATTAAAACTTAAAAGATAATTAATTGAAACTATTAAAATGTACAATAAAGTTCCCATATTAAAGACATTTAATTTAAAGGGGGAAAAAGTAACCATATATGTTACCATATAAATATGGCATGTCCCCCTTTCCAAATATTCATCAAAATCCAAGATACAATTATAAATAAACTTATATATTCGATAAGAAAAATGACTTTTCAGTATGCGTATGCGCTCATTTTCTTATGCATATCGATCGAGATTTCTCCAAGCGTCTCACAGTTACTCGGAGGAGAAGGTCTTTTACCAGGTTTAGGAGGTCAGCTTGATAATGGTCTTTTCCCAGATATTTCCAAATGCTTAGCATCAGTATTCAATGTTCCTGGATGTGTTGAAGAGATTATAACATCTTTCTTAACTATTCGACTTCGATTAATCGGACCTCAATGTTGCAAAGCTGTATTAGAGATTCACGATAGTTGTTGGCCTAAAATTCTTCCTTTTGGTGCACTTTTACCCTTGACACTCAAAAGTTTTTGCCCCATTCAAGGTTCATTGCCACCATCAACCCCTCAAACACTATTTCCAAATAGCGACATGAAGATCGTACGCAATATTAAAAACTAAGTTGTTCAATTATCATTCTTCGAATCGTTTACAATAAATAGGTGGCGATGAGATTCGACGCACCTAGTAGTTCTTTTATTTGCTTTTTAGTACAATGTCAATCTACATAATCGTTTTTGCTTAAATAATCAAATTGTTAAAAGAATGCATATTTTTTATTTATTTAATTATGTTCTATTTAGATAATCTATAAAACCTAAAACCTTCCACGTGTCAAATTCTTAAGGAGCCTCACACAACTTGAGTAAGTTATGTGAGATACAATATAAATCTGTGGTGAAGAAACTTAGAACGTGGAAATTTAAATATCAACAAACTTAGCCATGGAAATGTAACAGTATAAATTTTGTGCTTTAGCCAAATTTAGCTGCAAAGATTCAAAATTTTCATAATCAATGGCGTTGAGATTACTTCCATTTTCTCCATTCTTCAATTTCAGCTCATCGAATCGAAAACGTAGATTTTCGATGCGTAGTGAAGTTTCTACCTCTGCTACTCTTCCTTCCAAACAATCCGTCTCAGGTGAGATTACACTGAATTTGTTGTTGTAGTATTAATCTTGAGAAAGGAGTTTTAAAACACATTAATTTGAATTTGAAGTTTATTGATTTGATTAATCACATTTCATTTATTTGGGCAAGAGGGAGACTGTGAGTCGCTGAGCTACGAATTTTTCCGTTGGTTGATTATAAATGAATAGGGCATTAGTAACTTGGACTGTCAAAAATGTGTCACAACCCAATTCCTTTACTTTTTTTATAGAATTTTTTTTTTTAAAAATCATTTATTTAACTCAAGTAATAAAACTTTCTTTATAATTATGTCTTTAAATGTTATATCAAAAACAAAAAAGGGTTGCTCGGGTGGTAAACATCCTTCATCTGTAAGACGACGATGTGGGGTAAAAATAGGCAGGAGTTTCGAGGGAGGGGTAAATATAAAATTTAAAAATATATATTAAATAAGAAAATTAAAACATTTTGATAAGATTTTCATGGATCCGTTTAGGCGGATTATATTTTTATGGGCTAATTCAACACCATAACACCTGGTTTCATTTATTGACATGTATAAAACAAAGTGAAGTGATGATGTGA